GCATTTTAATAGCAGCAAAAGGTTTCTGAGCAGGAGACACTGAAGGGCAGTTGCTCTCCATTTGCATTAAGGGTCAGTCTGTTGGTAATTAGGTCATAGATGGAAGTGCACTAGGGCAGAGTAACAAACCATTGTTTAGCAGTTCATTGAAAAGAGGGAAGAAAAGCATTTCAGGACAAGCCAAAGCAGAGCTGAACATGATTCAATACCAAGATCGGATAGAGAAATGCTGAAGACGCACTGGAACCCAAGCCAGCTTCATTTTTTCTGTTTGCATTTTATTGTATACGTATAATTTTTTTTTATTAAATTTAATCCTGCTCAAAGAAATATTTTGGCTGTTAGATATGACACTCTTTAGTCAAATACTTTGGATTCTGATTGTTATAGCAAACAGATTGGCCGGTAGCAATTAAACCACATGCTGCAAAGCACATTGGGAAATCTCAGAGACTGTGATTGGTCCTGATTAAATTCACCCATTCCACACTCGTAACGTTTATGGAGTAGTTACAAAAGTACTTTTAGTAGATGAATGTGTGTTTGTCTTTCAAATTGCTTCAGGTAAATGTTTACCCAGACTTTACCCACTGTACTTCCTGTGGTCTCAGTGTTTGAAAGAAAGATTGTACTCATCTGGACAGGCCAGATAGCCAAAAGATATTCAGTCTTCTCTCGAACTGAATGAAGTCCCCGGAACCTATAGGTGGCATGCTTGTAATCCCTGTGCTGGCGAGGCAGAAGCAGGCAGGTCTCTGGGGTTGAGCTTCAAGCCAATGAGAGACCCAGTCTCACAAGCAAAGTGGCTCCCAAGACACCTGAGACTGTCTTCTGCTCTCCATACACATGTACACACATGTGCACATGTGCTTCTTGCCATGTACCCACATACATACACTTGCACACATACAAGTCGATGCTTGCCTGTGTGCTCTTCTAGAACTGGACTGTCTTTTGTTCCCAAACAGAAACCATCACTATATTCTTCTGGTTGCAACTTCCTTTAAAGCTGCTTTTCATCACCTCTACTCTCAACATTCTGGTCTAAGCTTCAGCTATCTGGACTGTAGGAACAGTTTTCCAGGTGCTCTATTCAATCCATTCTCCTTATTGCCTGGCATGACCACTGCCATGTTGATGCTTTCCATGCCCACAGGATACACACCAAAACTCACTCCTAAACCCTCAGAGTCCTGAGCACAGGTGGCACCTACTTGGCAATGCAGCCTCCTTAGTAACATCCTGTGTTTTGTTCCCTGAACTGCACATCTGATGCCACTCTAACAGTCCCTCTGTTAAGATAAACTTTTTTGTACTCTGGAGTGTTCACACAGGTTGTCGTGTTTGTTCCAACAGCTTTTCTGTTTGCATATTTGATTCATTAATGCAATAATTTCAGCTTAGTACTTTCGCCCTGGGAAACCTACTATGGCTTTTCTTAAGTGGTTACATCTTTCTCTAGAAACTCTCTTAGTCTTTCATACTTGTTAAACGCCTCTGTTATCAGTGTCCAGCTCCTGTAGGTTGTGGGGTCAACCTTATGTTCTTTCCTGTGTTGCCTATCTCTGGCACAATGTGCGGTACATAGGTGATGCTTGCCAGGAGCCAAAGCTATTTACTGAAGCCAAAGCCAAATAGTGAGCAAAGGTCATTTAGTGGAGACAAAGTCAGTTAGTGGAAAAGTTATCAACAGCTGCACTAGGACCCTAAGTCATGGGTGATAGATTTGTGAGAACATCTGTTTGTTAGCCTTAGAGCATCCTTGAGGTATCTTAAGTAAACATCCTTACAGTATCTTGCAGGTGCAATATTCAAGCCATGAAAGCACTCTTGTTATCTTCTGCAGCAGTAAATTAGCCCCGCCCTTTCCTGCCTTCTCCCTATATAAGTTGGGTAAAAATTTCAAATAAACGAGGCCTTGATCAGACAAACTGACTTGGTCTCCATTCTTCCTGTCTCTGTCCTACACCATTCTTTTTGCCCCTCCTTAGGAACCCGTTTAACTCCTGCTGGAAGGGACAGATGCTCACTAAACATATGTTGATTAAAAGAATATTTCAGCCGTGCTCATTATATACATGTATATATAACATCTATCTATCTATCTATCTATCTATCTATCTATCTACCTACCTACCTGCCTACCTATCTGTATGCATGCCTATCTGTATATACATGTATGCACATGCATTTGTACATGTGTATGCAGTTGTGTGCACATTGTGGCGGAGGGATTACAAGTCTTCTACTGCTCTCCACTTTGTTTCCCTGAGGCAGGGTCTCTCACTGAATTTGGAACTCACTTTTTGGTGCTAGGCCCATGACCACTGAAGTCCTGAGATGTTCCCTCCCTGCCTCTTCCCCAGCACTGGGGTTACAGGTGCAGGAGGCCGTGCCTGGTCTGTCACCTGGATGCTGGGTCCCGTCTCAGCTCCTGTGCCTCCACTGTAATTGCTCTTACCCACTGAGCCTTCTCCCCAACCCCACAGTCACAGGCTTGATGCCTAAGGAAAAGGGAGCTATAGAAGAAAAGAGGATATGGAACTAGAGTAGGCAAGAAGGGAGGCAGGAGTACAGTGATCTAGTCAAGTCACTCCTGAGCCTGTGAAGTCAGTCTTATTGTAATTGTATTGACTGACAACAAAATAGCATTGAAAGACTGTGGAGTAACTTACTTTGGTGTGTGTGTGTGTGTGTGTGTGTGTGTCTGCGTGTATGCATGTTGTAATTCTGATCAAATGTTTGTTTCTCTTTTCATCTCTAGTTTCAGCCTCAATGAATTGATTTACTGAATTACCAACCAAGTTAATAAAATGGATGATAAAAAATAAAACCCATGCTCCCTCATATGTTAGCAGATAAATTTTCTTATACTGTATGAAGTTTAAAACTGCTCCTATGTCCTCCTTTTGGGTGTGAAACTAGCTATAGCCTGTATTCAGAAAGCAGAGGTTTTTGATGAACAAACAAACAAAATATGTGGAGACTGACTTCTTTAACATGACAGTAGATATTCTAATCCAAAAATTATTGATAGATTTAGTGGAAAGGTAGAAAACGCTAATTTTCAAATAAAACACAATAGAAACTTCTATTTCATACCAATATTATTAATTAATATTGAGCCAACACATAAAACATGAAAGAGAAATGGAAGAAAATATACTGTAGAGTCAAAAAGGCAATTCTCAGATTTTTACTAGGACTGAAAAAGTGGAAACAGAGCCTGGCAGTGGTGGCACATGTTTTAAGTGCAGCTTTCAGGAGGAGGTAGAGGCAGATGGATCTCTGGGTTCAAGGCTAGCCTGAGCTACATAGTGAGTGCCAAGACAGCTAGGGCTACACATAGAAACACTATCTTGAAAAAACAAACAAAAAGATTTAAAGAGTGTAAGTTTTAATAAAATGTACTGTCAAGACAATGAGGCAATATTTATTATTAAAATAATGAAAGAATAGTTGGACACAAAAGAACCTGCACCTCTGAATCCATAATAAATACTGTAGATAATGTGCATTTGTATTTTTTTACATAATGAAAACTGATGTCTAATAAGGATTTTAACAGATGGTGAAAATACCTAGTTATGGATAATTATAGCTCATTTTCCCTAATAGTTTTGTGACTATTAAATTTTTAATAACTGATTAGAAAATACAAGTAAATAAGAAAGACATAGTTTAATATGGGAAGAATATATTTTAAAAGATGTCAGTTTTCCTCAAATTAATTAATAGAGCTTAATAACAACAGTACGACTTCTGTTAGTATTTCTTTCCTGATAGCCTGAAAAAGTTACAAAATTTGATGGGAAAGCATTAATTACAAAGGTTTTTATGAGGATTGAAGAGATAGTTGAGTGGTTAAAGAGTACTAGCTGCTCTTGCAAAGGACCTGGGTGTAGTTTCTGACACCCAAATGGTGGCTCACAACCATCTGTAACTTCAGTTCCAGAGGATTTGATGTTCACTTCCGACCTCTGCAGACAATGCATGCACATTGTGCATATATGTAGGGAGAACATATACACACATAAAATAAATAAAATCTAAGTTGTTTTTTTTTTTAAACAAAGAAGACAGTAAAACACTTAGCTCTTATGGTGCACTATCAACACACATTCAAGTACAACCGGCCATGATGGTGCACATCTTTAATCTCAGGAGTCAGAGACAGGCAGATCTCTGTGCGTTCAAGGCCAGTCTGGTCTAACTTTTAGGTCAGGAAGGGCTACAAAGTGAGACCTGTCTCAAAAACCAAACCACCACCGCCACCAACAAAAACAAAAATATATTCAAAGTAAGATTAATTAAAATAGCATAGTATTAATCTTGCAAGAAACAAGTATTTTTATAGAGGACAGAATGACCAGAAATGCTGTATTATTTCCCATCTGTATGGTGTGTATGTGTGTGTGTGTGTGTGTGTGTGTGTGTGTGTGTGTGTGTGTGTGT